TTCAGCACCATCGAAGAACAGCAGATGAGGTCGTGTGCCAGTAAGTGCCACTGTATTACTCAATATAAATTTTTTTTGAATGATAATGAATAAAATAATTTCGATAACTAGTAAACCTCGGTTGGATTCAATTAGATTTGATTCGGCTCAGCTAGGCTTAGACCGGTTGCAAGGGGTTGCGATAATCGTGATATGCCGCTTCGACTAATAGGCCGGCTTGAGTTAGAATTTTAGTCTGAGTGGCTAGATGACGGCAAAGTTGGGTCGGCGATAAGGAAGGAGCTGCTGTGCCAATTTAGGGCGCAAATGATCATTGCCGAGGTCAAGGAACTGGAAAATCGACTGGAAGGATTAGCAACTTTAATGCGTGCCGCACTTGTTCAAAATGAAACAGAATTAAGGCAGCTCATAGTGTTTCAAAAAATCAGAAAAGTGCACTGCATGAAGGACTGTACGGTGTTAGTGATAACTGCTTGATATTAGATGCTAAAATACTATTTTACTAAGCCAGCATTATGAGCACCATTCCACAATGTGCGTATTTGCATTACATCCCACCTACCAGTACAGATCAACACTCGCAGTAAGCATACTAACATCTGCTGTACCTCCCCTTTTCCTTTTTTCCTCTTTTTTTGCTTTTTTGCTTTTTCACACACTTCCTTTTTCTTCCTTATTTTACACTTTATTTTATTATATACTACATCCTACATTCTATTTTAAATTTTAGATGTATTATTCAACATCATTACATTTTACATCTATTATCTATTATCTATCATCCACTATTTTTTACCCTTAGCTAAAATATAATGTTACCACAGTCGTCGTATGACGAGATCCAACTGTGGTAACAGTAAGAAATGTATACGATTTAATGGACCGAAACATTTCTTACCTAATTTAATACTACTTTTTTACATCTTCCACTTTTTTATCTTTTTATCTTTTCTATCATCCTTTCTTACATTTTTCAATAAAATTATCATTCAACTTTAAATAAATGAAAAAAAAAAAACACATAAAAATTAGCGTTTGCTAAGACTGGGACTTTTTGATCTATCAGTCTGTATACGCCTCAGCTCTATATTATAAGCGATTCCTGTCAGTAGAACCGTTGTAGCACTGTTATTATTATTGCTATTGTTATTATTATAAAATAATAAAGAAAAAAGTTAGCAGTTAATGAGATGAAAGCAAAACGTTAATGCAGGGCAAAGGAGACTGATATCAAATATCCAGCATTACGCACTTCAGTGTCATTATCTCTAGGAACTGTATTGTGATGGGCATACAAGGCAAGTTTATAAAAACAAATTTTTAGTTCAGGTTGCCAATCAAGAAACTGTGGAGCTGCTCAAGGCAGAGCACTTCGATTTCGGCATCACTGAAATATTCAGCCCTTGCGGCTATGCCATTTTCAGCATAATCGGTTTGAATAACTATGCTACTGCATTTACAAGTGATTTGTACGAAGTGGTCTCGGATCCACTGGGCGTAAGCAGTAATCCAAGCTGGGTGCCAGGTT